AAAAAAAAAAAAAATGGAAAGAATTACCCATGCTAGGATTATTTAAATTCATCTATCTCCAGTATTTCTTTGCAGACTGCCAAATCTTTTTCTGGCAAATATGTAAAGGCAAGACTTGTTTTTTAGTTAACAAAAAATAATAATAATTAACCAAAAAAATCTAAACTACAGCTTTAGTTGGCTTATTTTTATTTTATCTTTTGTGGTTTGAAGGTTGTGCAGCATTTCCTCTACACTCCTGAGACGAGGCTCGCTGTGTGCAAAGATGGAGAGGGCGCTTCTTTCCCATTTCCTGGGATCTTCCTGTGGGAGAACTTTATATCAGAGGAGGAGGAGAAAGAGCTGGTTAGCTCAATGGACCATGACCTGTGGAATCTGTCCCAGTCTGGTCGAAGGAAACAGGTAGTTTTGAACTCATCCAATGGAAACACATTTAATAGCCCAACTTTGGAAACAAGTAATGTAAACAGTAAACTTTACATTAGATTAATATTTTTTATTGAAATTAAAATATCTGTGTACATGGTTGCAGGACTTTGGACCGAAGGTGAACTTCAAGAAACAAAAAGTGCGTGTAGCAGACTTTACTGGACTTCCTGCTTTAAGTCATAAACTAGTACTGCGGATGCAGCAAGAGCCGAGCCTGGTAGGCTTTCAGCCGGTGGAGCAGTGCAATCTGGATTACGATCCTCAGCGAGGCTCAGCCATCGATCCGCACCTAGACGACTCGTGGCTGTGGGGGGAGCGGCTGGTCACCGTCAACATGTTGTCCGACACTGTACTCACCATGTCTCTTGAGCAGGGTCTGTCAGAACTGGGACTAGCGGAGGAAATCCATGTGGCTATAAGACTTCCTCGCAGGTGTTTAGTAGTGGTGTACGGTGAAGCGAGGCATAGATGGAAACACGCCATCCACAGGGAAGACGTTCACCAACGCAGAGTCTGCAGCACGTTCAGGGAGCTGTCTGAAGAGTTCCTACCTGGAGGGCAGCAGGCGGAGCTGGGAGCTAAACTGTTGACTATTGCTTTAAGCTTCAAGGGAACTCCTGTATAAACTCAAAACTGTTATAAATACTCCTAAAACATGTATGTGCTTCTTTTCTCAAATTTACACTTTGACTAGTTAAACACAAACTTTGTCCAAATGTTCTATGTAACATTTTCTTTGGATAAACGATTTCCAAAATATCATCTCAGTCTACGCTTTAAAAATTAATCAGAATGAACACAAGGTTAAAAGTTTCACTCCAAATAAAAAAACAGATTTAAATCTGTTTAGTATAGTATCACACAAATAAATAAATGGAATGGTCTTTTTTCTATATGTACTTCTTGATGTTACCAGCAGATGGCACCAAACTTCATATTTTGTCTCATGGATTGAGAGTTAAATTGGTGTAAAAACTTGTGAAACTAGAAATAAACTGTGATAAATTTAAAACATTTGTAATTAAAATAATTTTATATTTGAACAAGGTTTTTTTCAAAGTTATTTTTATTTGTTTTCCTGATATTGGGATTTTAATATAAATATAAACATTTGATTCACACAATTAAATTTTTTTCAATGTAGGACATTTTAATTTTGGTTGCAAACGCTAAAAATACTGCATTAAAATGCAACCAATATATCTTGATTAAGCAATTATCAAAAGATTTTAATTTTTATACATTGTGGGAAAATCAAAGTTCATGCTCAATAATCCAGGTAAAATATTCTCAACAAAATTAAATAATCTGGACAGGTTTTTTTTTTCTTCTTTTGTTGAAACGGTTCATCCAAAGGACTTCATCAGTATGAGGAGCCACAACAAACACAGTCCCGTAAGCAGCACACCCACATAGTGGGCCAACTGGTTTTCTGATGAAGTCCTTTGGATGAAGGACGAAACGTCTCAACAACTAAGAAACCATCCAGATGGCCTGACTTAACTTTGCTGTTTTTTTTTACTTGGATTATCGAGCATGAACTTTGATGTTTTGGATCACTTTGGCTGTGGCTGCCTCAGAGGAGTCGATGGGAGAGGGTGGGCCCCAGAAACCATCTTATCACCAGCAAACTGGTTGGACCGCTATGTGAATGTGCTGCTTGTGGGATTAAGTTTGTTATGGCTCCTCAGACTGATGAAGTCCTTTGGATGAAGAACATTTCAACAAAAGAAAAAGAAACGGTCCAGATGACCTAACTGAACTTTGTTGGATTGTGGGAAAATCACTTTAAAATTGACAATTTAATTACCTATCAATATTGGGAAATATTTAAAAAGTCAAAAACTAAATTCCATTCACTTAATGAACATTTACTGGTTTCAGTTTTATGATCAGTTGAAACCAACCACTTCACCCCAGTTCTTTTGTTCTTGTCTGTACATCTGTTGCTTTTTGGCCACAGTCTTTTCATGGTGTCTCACCAGACGTCTCAAGGTTTATCAGTTCCTGCAGGATATTTAAAGGCTGGAAACAGATCTGGAAATATTCTGATTTCAAGTAAGTAGCACTGCTTGTTGCACTATATTTTTTGACTGCTCACTCCATCTGACCCTCAATTCATTTCTTTGTACTTTAAAAAATATAATTTTTGAAATGGTTGCCAAGGAAAACCCTTTCTGAGAGCTGGGCTGTTCCTCACCCAATTTTAAGCCTTTTGTGTGTGGTTATATTTTCTTTCACTTAATGACTGGGTTTCATCCTACATATGAAAATAATGATTATTAACACCGGTTGGGCACAATTGGTTAATCACACACAAGACAATCCTACTTAATCCCTGACTTTGTGCACCTAAAATTGATGCTGTTTCGAGGGAAATGGGTGGTCACATACAGTATACAGGTATTATTATTATTGAAAGGTTGGTTCAGCATTCACACTATTGAGAGTGTTTCTTTTTATTATTCTGACATATAAAATATTTTTCTGTACTTATTTATTTGGATTCTATACTTCTACATAGTTAGTGGTGTTTTAACCATTCATATATTTTAAAACTGTCTGCTCATTAAGGAGATGGGGTGCTATGACTTTTTGTAACTTTATGCTTCTCAAAATATTATGCTTTGTTAACAAACTTTTTTTTTAATTAAAAAAATACATATTAAAATGCATTTAGATCTTTTCACTTCCCTCAAAAACGTTGTTCTCCTCGAAAACTTAAGCATATTTTTCTCTATTTTTGTCTTCTTATACCCCGTTAGGCTTTTTCAGCATATTTAGTTAATTTTTAGTTGGCCTTTTGTTTACGATTTGAACTCAACTTTTGACACATTTAAACTTTAATAATTTTAACTTCTGTTAAGCATTGAGCTTGATTTTTGCTACTTTTAGCTGGTATTTAGATATTTCAGATTTTAGCTAGTGTTTTGCTACTTTGAGTTAGCATTTTCCCACTTCTAGCTTTTAGCTAGCATTTAGCATCTTTTAACTTTTTTAATAAGCATGGACCCAATGGACAGTGATGTTTGCAGATGACATTGTGATCTGTGGTGAGAACAGGGAACAGGTGGAAGAGAACTTAAAAGTGGTGAGATCAGCTATGTTGTTGGTCTGAAGACAGTGGCATTGACAAAAAGACAGGAGAAAGAACTGGAAGTGGCAAAAATGAAGATGTTGAGGTTCTCCTTTGGAGTGACAAGGATGGATAAGATTAGGAATGAGATCATGAGAGGTACCGCACAGGTTGAACAACTGGGAGATAAAGTTAGAGAGGCCAGACTGGGATGGTTTGGACATGTCCAGAGGAGGGACAGTGGGTATACTGGTAGAAGGATGTTAGAAATGCAGCTGCCAGGAAAAAGACAAAGAGGAGATATATGGATGCAGTTAGAGAGGACATGGAGGGAGTTGGAGTGAGGACAGAGTGAGATGGAGGAGGATGACTCGCTGTGACACCCCTGAAGAGGGAAAAGACAAACGAAGAAGAAGAAGATCTTTAAAGAAGCAGTACACTAACTTTCATTCAACCTTTATTTATACAGGCTAGTCACATTGAGCCACAAGGACTCATTTATAAGAGGGACCTGTGTGTGTGTGTATATATATATATATATATATATATATATATATATATATATTAACAGCAAACAATGACAACAATAAACTACAGTAAAAATGCAGTTAGAAGATTGTATAAAACAATAAATCAGGGTATAACAGGGAACCCCTTAACTTAACCCTTAACCCCTTCACTAAAAGCTAAAAGAGAATAACACCTGCTCCTTTAAACTAGTTCTTCTGATTTTGGTTATAGTGTCCTAAAACTTGATTTCTACTCTTTCAGCAAAGTCATTCAGCTTTCACACTGCGCAGAAAATGCAATTTCTCTAGTTTAGAGTTATGCTGTGATAGTTCTAATAATGAATCAGTTATAAAAAACTAATATTTGTAGAAGGTTTTTTTTTTTTTTTTTACATCTCTCTAAGATTTGCACGGCACTGTATCTTTCACAATAAATGTATGGAACCAAATTTGTCAGAGCGATTTTTTTAATTCAAACTGTATTTATTTGTTTTATAAAGTTACTACAGATGGTTAATAAAGGATTAATGTGCTGTACTTTATTTGCAGACCTGTTGGACGCCAACTTCAAGCGCTTGTTGGCCGTGCTTTTATTCTGAAAGTGCGACCGGATATCCGTGTTTACCCTGGCTGCTCCTCAACCTGTTTGTTAATCGCTCCGTGGCTTATTAACGCCCAACTCTACAACAAGCCGGGCTCTTAACTCTGGGACATTTTACTCACCGTCACCACGAGGTGACAAGTCGCTGTTTGGCCGCAGATGCAACTAAACGTCGCTTTGGTTTGTCGCCAGCTTGTAATTTTGTGTCGGAAATCAAACGGAGAGGATTTTCCAATGTAGCTTGTTAGCTCTCTGCCTGCGTCGGTTGCGTACAGTCCGAGTGCACACAGCAGCTTTTTGTTCTGCTCACAGCCTCTGCATGACAAACTGTCGCCAGTATTTAGTGGAACAGCGGGTGCTCTATTGAGAAGCGTGTCAAGAAGAAACCCCCCTGGTTGTCAACCCCAAACCCCGGGGCTAACCCCCGGTCATCGAGCGAATTAATGGCCGGAAATCCGCGGAGGGGCGCCGGTCTCATCAACTTGATGAAGGACGCCTTTCAGCCCCACCAGCAGCCTCTTCAGCCTCACCAGCCCGCAGTGGTCGATAAGAAAATGGTGGAGAAATGCTGGAAGCTCATGGATAAGGTACTAACAGTGTCTCCTATTTAAAAAAAAAAAAAAACTTTTATGTCTTCGAGGTTCATATTTATTTTTACTTCCCCTTTTTTTGTGTTTAACTTAGGCAAACGTCACGAGTAAAAAAAAAAAAAAAGCTTTCTTTTAAACTGCTTAACAAAAGACAGCCACACATTTGAACATTTCCTTGTCTAAAACTATATGAAAAAAAAAAAAAGTAATTAATTTAAACAGCAGTACATTGGTGCCTCTGATGCTTTATCTAATTGGGATGAAGTGAAGTAGGTCACATTAGTGTCCCCTGTGTGAGGAAAAAGCCATTTTTTAGTAGTGGATCAGATCAGAAGATGTTGCATGAAGGCCTGGTTCAGTTCATTCATTGCAGCTGCTCCAGTTTTATCTCCTGCCATGATCAGCCTCCACTTCGATGGAGATAAGAGAAGAAAGCAGGGAGAGATGGGGAGACAAGACTTCAAAAGATATTAATTCAGTGGGGCTGGAGTAAAGCTTCAGATAAGACAGTCTGTGATATGCGTGTGCTGTCATGCCTCACTTACACCTACAGAATATTGCCTTTATGGTATTGCCTCATCCTTTTAACCATTACAGGTTTTAACCCCCTTTCTACCAGGTTTAGTGGCTTGTCAGATAGTGCTTTAATAAAGTTTACAGCCTTGCTGGTGAAATATCCGTGTGAAAATGTAAAGTTATAGTGAAGAATTTGCCCAAGGCGTTGTTGGCATAACATTCGTTTTAAATTCACAGTGATGGATTTGCAAATCGCAACATAATTCAGTTCAACTGATTTTTCTAGCGCCAAGTCACAACAGAAGTCATCGCAGGGCACTGAGCATAAAACATTCGTATATAAAAATACTTAACATTATTTATCTGAGGAGCAGACTGCTTTGAGTTGAACTCCATCGCAGAACTCTCATGAAGTCATGACCTGACTGATAATTGTTGGATTGTGTACCTGGATTATTGAGCATGGACTTTGTTGGTTTTGAACCAGTTTGACATGACTGTCGACGAGGAAGAGGGCCGACACCGGAGGAGGGGGCGTGCCAAAGAGACCATCTTAGCACCGACATAACTGGTTTGTTCCACTTTGGAGTAAGCTGTTGGGGGAAGAACCAGTTTTGTGTTGTTTCCTTGACTGATGAAGCCTTCTGGATGGAAGGTGAAACGTTTCAGCACAAAAAAAAAAAAGAAACTGTCCAGATGACCTGACTGAAAATTGTTGAACTCTCATGAAGGCGACAGTGGAAAGGAAAAACTCCCTCATGAGGAAGAAACCTTTAGCAGAACCAGGATCAGGACCATCTGCTTCGACCGGCTGGGTTTGAGAGGAACAGATACACAATGGCAGGTCAAGAATCACATGCTAAGATAGAAATAGTATCAACTGAAAACTTTTCAATTTCAACAATTCATTTAAGGAAATGAGGTCAGTTTGTCCTCTAGTAGTCTAAGCTTAAAACGGCGTGACAAGCCAACCCTGAAGGCTCCAGTGTACTCGCACGTCCTGTCAGCCACACGGAAACTGTGCACACTGTGCACAGAAAGTTGAGACTTCAGGCTCGAGCGTACACCCTGAGCGGCTGCAGAGCAGCTCTGCAGACAAGGGGCGTTTACCTTCAAATTGAAGTTGCCGATTGGTCATTTGCCGATGCCTACTGGGTTGATTGACAGGTAGAGAAAAAAATAATGAGAGCTGGCAGCAAGCAACAGCAGTGCTCAGTTTTTTAATGTTAATAAAAAGTAAAAAAACAAAAAAAACAAACAGGGAGCACTGTCCCTGCAGCCCACACATCAGACCAGCTCACCAGGAAATCTCCAGACCCTCCCGCAGCCACGCTGGACCTGATTTTAATTTGCTCACAACAAATTCTTTCATTTCTCACCTTTTCAGTCATGGCATCAACAGAGGAGGAAGAGATCGCTTGCCTCTTGGAAAAAACTAAACAAAAGGCCAGATCAGGGACGAAGAAGGGGAATTTAATACATTGGTGTCGCATACAAAACAGTCCGTCGCCGGGCAGTTTATTGTGCGACACCAAGTACGCGGTTGTAAAAATTGAGCTTTGTGCGGACATGCCCTGCGGGCGTCCGCTTCGACTCTAATCCGGTACGCGCGGACCTCTGCGGACTGACGTACGTGGGAGTATACTGGAGCTTAATTATAGGATTTATGGGAGTTTTACCTTTTTGATCCTAGGTTCTCCATATTACTTTCACTTTCTTTACTTTCACTATATTCTTGACCTTATAAGACCTAATGCAATACACGACTATGTATTTATGACGTAAGGGTTCCTCAGGTCATTAATGGCTTTGTTTTTCCTCTAGTGCTGGACATTGTGGAATAATTCTTATGATTTGCTTAGATCTAATAACGTGACAGAATCGTGTCACTGAAGTTTGACTGGGTGTGAAAAATCAGGCGGGTAGTAATGTCATTTATAGCTGTAAAGTGAAACACAAAGCGATTGTCAAATTAAGATCGTTAAACTTTTAATGCCTAATCCAGATTATTGAAGTGGACTTCCTGATTTACCATGAAGGCAGTCACTTTTATTACCACAATATCACCGACGTTATGGCTTGGCTTAAAGGCAATAACAAAAAAGGAGAAATAATGAAAAATGTTTTATTAAAAAAAAAAAAAAAACTAACAGACACCCCAACAGAAATAAAAGGAAACATAAGGCTATCTGGAGGAGAAAGGGGAGAGACTGCTTCCATGGAGGGTGGTTGTTTTGTAGACTTTATTGAAGACTGGCCAGCTGCATCCAGTTCTTAATCAACAATCATCTGAGGATCCTGCAATACAAACAGGAATCCAGTAAAAAGGCCTGGTTGGAACAGAAACTGACTTCTTTTTTTTAAAAGTTTGAACATTCAACTGCATTCATTGATCATCTACTAGCATTAGTTTTATAGAATGGTTGTTGCCAAACACCTCAGCACTGCTGTAGGAGGAAGTAGTGTCAGGACAAATAAAGTTTACTGCAAAGTGATAATGATTCAAGAGTCTAATTTCACTATCATAAGAGAACATACACATCAACACCTATTCCTTTTACAGATTTTTATGTTAATGTATATTTTAGGCTTGTGCAGGAATAGTAGCATAAAGATTTCTGAAAGATCAGCAATTGGTTGAATCATAAGCAGTGGAATTAATGGCCAAAGTATAAAATCTTGTTTTTAAAGTGCTAAACGTTGAGGATTCTTAATAACAACAATTTTCCTTTTAGTTTGGTATATTTCATCAGAACGCAGCGTGGCACAGTGTCGCCTCACAAGAAAGTCACAGGATCACCTCCCAGCCTTTTTGTATAAAGTTTGCATCCCCCCCCCCCCCCCCCCCCATGCACCAATGGGTTTCAGTCTACTGATTTCCTCCCACTGACTGAAACCGTGCATGTTATGATTACTGGTTCCCCTAAATCCTTAAGTGTGAATGAGAGCATGAATAGTCTCGTTTGTCTCCGTGTGGCCCAGTGATGGACTTTTGACTTGTCCAGGGTACGTCCGCTTCTTTCTGGGTATTCCATCAGAACTCATCAGCTTTTGTCCTCTTGTGCTGAATCCAAACCTCACATCAACCCTAATTGATCATGAAATAACTATCAGTCTGGAATTTATCGAAGTTGTCAAAGGACAACAGGCAGGTTATATTGTGGACATGTCACCAGTCCATTAAAAAACAAAGACAAATGAAAGTTCAGCCATGCACCGTCACAATCACATGATTAAGATTCATAAAGGATCCTAATACTTGATTTTTGGGCCGTGGGTGGGAGCTGAGAAAACTCAAGTAGGTTCGGCTTGTTGTTTGGAAGATTGTTAAAGTCCAAGTCTCTCTTGTAAATGAGTCATTGAGGCTCGATGGGATTAACCTGTATAAATAAAGGTTGAATGAATTCATTTAAATTCAAAATACTTTATTAATCCCAAAGGGAAATTAAATGTTGTTGTAGCTCATCATCCTGGTTCCATTAAGAGTTGTTGTATACCAGTATGCTGATGGCTGTGGGCAGGAAGGATCTGCAGCAGCAGTCCGTCCCGCAGCAGATCTGAAGAAACTGGCTGCAGATGCCGATCTGTCCAACCAGACCCAGTGGGCCTCTCGGTCCTCCTTGGCAGCAGGACCACCTGAATGTTAGGCAGAACTCCTCCCTGAGCAATGATCGCTCCTCTCAGCAACTTGTTGAGCTCCTCATCATTGCAGACAGCCAACTGCAGGTGTTGGGGGATGGTCCTGGTCTTCTTATTGTCATGAGCTGCATTTCCTGCCAGCTGCAGGATTTTGGCAGTCAGTCACACGAGCACCTCCGCCAGGTTGACGGAGATGCATCCACGACGCCTCCTTTTGGGATTGGGTCTGTAGTTGAGGTACTATTTGAGCTTTGAGATGCTAATCAGCTGCTCCCGGTTGTAAAAACCGCCTTGTTGTCATGGTTACGCTTCATAACAAATGTCCAAAACTATTAAGGTTTTCATTCAAAATCCTTCCAGCTGCACAGCATCCAATACCAGAGGAAGTAATCATCTGTAAAAAGCCATTTATGTCCAGAAATTTTCAACATATCCCAGAATGAACAGCTACTCCAACACGCAGCCACCTTGAGCGGCGCAATTCAATTCAGTGACCTCAATGAATTTGAATTAGATTTTCACGACACGCCCGCAACTTTAACTTGCTTCCTACAAGAGTTCCTGAGCCGCTGTTTTTCTCATCTAGGTGGTGCGTTTATGCCAAAACCCCAAGGTGGCGTTGAAGAACAGTCCACCCTACATCCTCGACCTGCTGCCGGACACCTACCAGCACTTGCGCACCATCCTGTCCCGATACGAGGGCAAAATGGAGATTCTTGGGGAAAACGAGTATTTTCGTGTAGTCGTCGACAACTTGACCAACAAGACGAAGCAGACCATGAGCCTTTTTAAGGAGGCCAAGGAGAGGATGTACGAGGAGAACTCCCAGCCCAGGTAGGCTCACGAGCAGAGGAAGTTTTCTTTAAACACAGAAGTGTTGCAGAATGTTTGACAGATGGCACTGAGCTAATCGCTGTTTGTCTTGGCATCCAGTCAACACAATAATCCTTTAATATTGCGATAATAGGATAATTTCTAACAGTACTGATTCTTCCCGACTCTGATCTTTAAATATAATCTAAGCCTTTAGTTGCACATCTCTACAGAATTGTGCATATTGATCGATTTTAAAACCATTAATTCATCCTGAGGGGGGAAATTCACAGAAGTGAAAAAATGAAAAGTTCCGCTCAAACAGAAGCAAATAATTTTTTTTTTCCAACAAATTGTAAGTTTTTCTTTTCTGTGTCAATAAGTCAGAAATAAATAACCAAATGAAATGATTATAATGCAAGATGATGGATCAAATAAAGGTTCACAATCATCAACTTCCTGTTTCTCAAAAAAGCGATCACTAAGCAAAAGTTCATGCTTCCTCTGACACGGATCTTTATCAAGCGTTTCCTCATAGATCTGAAACCTCATCACTCACCAGGGATTGGAGTTCAAACAATCCCGTTAACTGAACCATCAAAGTGGCATTCACTGTATGCAGGCCACATTTTAAAGACCATATGTTGTGAACGTTTCATCACTCATCTTTGAATTGAAACACATCTGGAGTCGACTTGAGTGTCTTCTTAAAATCTATGGGCACAACAGTATTCAGGTTGAAACAGGCTGTGAAAGGTTTCTTCTGTGTCTGAAACATCTGTAACTAAATTGTGGCTATTTGTTTTGTTTTTTTTCCCCCCCTGTTAGGCGTAACCTCACTAAGCTGTCGCTGATCTTCAGCCACATGCTAGCAGAGCTAAAAGCCATCTTCCCCAATGGCCTATTTCAGGGTGACAACTTCAGGATTACCAAAGCTGACGCTGCTGAATTCTGGAGACGCTCTTTTGGTGACAAGTGAGTCTGTGCAGTGGGTGAATAAGGAGAAAAGGGCAGCTACAGTGCTGTGTAAATGTTTGCCCCCCCCACTGATTTCTTCTGTTTTTTTTATGCTTTTTGCTCACACTTAAATGTTTCAAAAGCAAATAATATCAGACAAAGATAACTTAAGTAAATACAAAATGCAGTTTGTAAAAGAAACTATGACAAAAAGTAACTGGTCGCTAACTGGTTGTGCCATCATTGGTGGATAAATTGTTTTTCTATTGCGCATTTGAGCTTAGGACCACAAACGGACATTTTTGTACTTTTTGGTCAGTAGTGGTTTTGGCCTTTGTTATTTTTGCCTTTTGTCTTTGTGAACTCTGACCTTATCTGAGGCAGGTGAGGCGTGCAGAGCTTGAGATGTTCTGGGTTCTTTTGGGACCTCCTGGATGCGCTCTTGGAGAGATTTTGCTTAACTGACCTCTCCTTCACCGCTCATTCATGTTGTCTCCATTTGTGTTTGCCATGTCCATTATTTAAGTAATATCTTGATTCTAGTGGTCTGGCAGTAACGGAGCCTGAATATGGTGGGTGGTGAAACTGAACTTGGAAAAGAAAATTATTATTTTTAACAACTGGGGCAATTTTTCCACAAAAGGCCAGGTTGGTTTAGATATACTTTAGTAACGTAATAAATTAAATCATCATATGGAAACTGTATTTTGTTTTTACTCAGGTTATCTTTGTCTAATGTTGAAAATTGTTTGATCTGAAACATTTAAACAAAACAACAAACTAAAATGTGTAAGGGAACAATTCATTTTTCACAGCACTGTGTCACTGGTGGTCAAATCTGTAGGTTTTTTTAATAGTGTGAATGTTTATGAAGCATTCACACTATTGTGATCCATTTTTCTTCCGTACGTTTTTCTGCGCTGTATCGTCCCACAGTTTTCAAGCTATTTCAACAAATCATTAATCAAAACGTTCAGCTCTTTCAGGACAATCCTGCTATGACTTTTGGTATTGGTGCAACTTTAGCTTTTTGAATTATTTAGCCTTTTCGGCCACTTTTTTTCATAAGAAATAAATTGAGCTCATTTTACATCCTTCACATCTGTTTACAACCTTTTACTGCTCCTTTCACATTTTGTTCTGGTTCAGCTTCTTTGTGTAAATTTAAACTTTTTTCAGCTACTTTCAGCTAATTTCAGCTGTTTTTTTTCAACTGTTTAGTGCTCATTTCAGATTCTTTCTTCTTACTACAACATTTTTGTGCTTCTTCTAACTTCTTTCTACTAATTTCAGCTTATGCTCCTTTCAGCTTATTTCTGTAAGTTTCAGCTTTTTCTGCTATTTCAGCTTCTATTCAACTGTTTTTATGGTAATTTTAGCTTTTTCTGCTAATTCCACTTTTTTATTTAATTTTTATTTTTAGCTCATTTAAAACTTTTTTCGCCCTAACTAAGCAAAAATGTACTCTCTCCACTTCCTTCTTGTAATTTAAACTTTTTCAGCTTTTTTGCTACTTTTCAGCAGATTTAGGTTAATTTCTTCTCTCCTTTTTTTGTGGATAATTTCCACTTTTTTGTTCTCAGTTCTGCTTTTTTCAGCCTAAATGGGCAAACATGTTCTTTCTGCTTTTGTCTGCTAATTTAAGCTCGTTATACTTTTTCAACCACATTGCCGCACGTTGTTTAGCTAATCTTTAGCTGTTTAAATATAATTTTTTTTTTTTTCTAACTTCAGTTTTTTTTAAGCTAATTTCCTAAAATCTGTGCTCATTTCTGCTTATTTAAACCTAATTCATTAAATCTAGTTCTTTCTGCTTTCTTTTGCTAATTTAGGCTTGTTCATCCATTTCAGCATGTTTTATTTTTTAGCCATCTTAAGCTGTTTTTTCAGCAAGTTCTTCTGCAATAAGCATTCACACTTCATTTTTGCAGGACATGCAGTTTCTCTGGTTGGAATTGTTTTAGAAAAGTTTGGACCGTTTTGATTACCGTAATTGTTTGCGAGTACTTATCATTCTGTTTCATGTTTTGGCCTTCATTAACAAACACACTGTGTGCTAAAACAATCTTCCTTTTACAGAACTATTGTGCCGTGGAGGATGTTTCGTCAGGCTCTTCATGAGTTTCACCCCATAAGTTCAGGATTGGAGGCCATGGCACTCAAATCGACCATCGACCTCACCTGCAACGACTACATCTCTGTGTTTGAGTTCGACATCTTCACCAGACTCTTTCAGGTACCTCCTCCAACTGCAAGCCATTCTGTGCTTGTTCAAAGCTTTAGTCAGTGGTAATGAATAAAACCAGGCAGCTACTGCCTGTTAAAGATATTAGATCATCATAAATTATATTAAATTATTGGTTTGAATTTCTACAATCAAATCCAATGAATCTCCTGTGTAGGCAGTGCACAAGTCTCAACTGTCATATTGGCATAAACACTTGGGTACTAAATGTCTTGTGCTTCAGCAAACTAGTTTCTGTCTGACCTGAGGAAAGATGTCGTTTCAGGCCTGGTTGGTTTCTGTTCCACTTGTTACAGAGGAAACAAAAGTTACGGAATAAAATCTCGTGTGCATGTGCTTGTGTGTTTGTGTAGCCGTGGTCGTCTCTTCTAAGGAACTGGAACAGTCTGGCAGTCACACATCCTGGTTACATGGCCTTCCTGACCTACGACGAGGTCAAGGCTCGACTGCAGAGATTCATCCACAAACCTGGCAGGTAGGATCCACACGAATCCTAAGAATCATTAATACACATTTTAAACGTTACACAAATATAAGAGCGATGAATTTAAACATTAAACTGCATCAGACGTATTGTGCACATTGAAGACTTTACCTTTTGGGTTGATGTTTGTTTTTTAGCTACATCTTCAGGCTGAGCTGCACTCGGTTGGGCCAGTGGGCGATCGGATACGTGACAGCGGATGGAAACATCCTACAGACCATTCCCCATAACAAACCACTCTTCCAAGCTCTCATTGACGGATATAGAGAGGGATTGTAAGTCGCATTTAAACATATCAAATCTCCATTTTATACCCGTTTTATTTATGACATTAAGTTTGTACCTCTCATACCCCATTCAGACCTGGCACTAACCTCAGATCCTGTGTGATCTGAGCACACCTGAGTCGTGCTAAATACTGGCGTAAGCACTCACAATATGTACTGAAGACCTGTCCACTCAGACTTGCCTTCAGAAATGTTCTTTTATCTGTCTTAGTTTGGCAGTAGAGGATGACTCGGGAGTAGATTTTCACTCCTGTCCCGTCCCACTCCCACAGAAAAAAATCTTGTCCCCCCCCAGGCCTAAATCATTTAATCGCATGATAAATTAAAATTATCGACCTCCTTTTCATTTATCGGCTTTATCATTTCTTTGCGTCTCTCTCTTTCTACTGAAGACACTGGATGACAAAAGGCTCAACTCCGGTGTTCTTCATGACCCCTTTCCTTTCTCTTTTCTCTTTAAAATCCATTTTAACAATCTAAAATCGTGTTTTTGGATCGCTAAAAGCAGCTAAGCTGAGAAGCTAAGCTACGAGCTAAATTCATGGTTGAAATCTGTGCCTTTGTGTAAAAGTTTTTCTCTGCAAAAAGAAGCTGAGAACTTGTTTACTGATTTTTTAATTTTTTTTTTATTAAAAGCTTTGTGTGAAAGTGCTATGCTAAAAAGCTAAAACTACACCGAGCGTCTGCCATTTTGAAAACCGATGAGTGACAGCCCATGTCACGTCAAGGGGCCTCCCTCCCATTTTTCTTAGACACACACTGCTCGCTCCCTCACTATCCATCCTTTGGTTCAAACAGACTTATACTGCCATCTAGTGGTAAAAAAAGTACTACACTGAAACCAAATTAACAAAAATTTCTTCTTAAATTTGACAATAATTACTAATTATTGTCAAATTTCAAACAATATTATCATTTATCGCAATAATTTCTGAGACGATCACCCAGCAAAATTTGTTACCGGACAGGCCTATCCCCTCCCAATCCCATGCCAGAGTAAAAAAACTAAAAATCCTGTCCCATCCCACTCCTGGTAAAATAACTCCCGCTGTCATTGTTTTTTTGTATCTTCATTTAGTCTTCAGGAAGTACACTGAATGGGATTTGATCTTCTACCCATTCTTTTTTATTTTTATTTTACCCATTTCTTTTGGTAAGCATAATATTACATGGCCTGTGGTCCCTATAGATTTTCTATGGAGGATCAGTTGCAAAGTCCCAATTTCTATCTCTTTTGGTGGTCAGTTACAGTAAACACAAATAAATAAATAAATAAATAAACAAGAGTACATGGGTCACACCATGTCTACCTTAGTTGAACGAACCCAAACATAATGTATAACGATGCATTTTACACATTTATTGAGCAATTGTTTCATTTAAACAGTGACATTACTTTTATGTTTTAAATTGCTTTAAAAAAAAACGCACCAAGCAAAAGAACTGTCCTCAACAAACAAAAAGGCATTACCGTCACATACTGTACCCGAGTTTCGTAAAAAAATAAAATAAAAATAAAGCCTCTTGAGACCACTCGTCCCTGACTCATTTGAGACTTTCCTGCCAGTGAGCTTAATAGATGCATTGTTACTTCTGACTTTGTGTTGCAAAACTACTTTTACCACATCGGTTTTTACCACATCCTCCCTCCATTGCTGTTCCTTTGAATTTCAGCAGAAAGCAGCGGCTAGAAGCACTGTTGGTTTCTGGACCGTGTAGTTCTTTTGACTTGAGTTACCTACAGTGTAGGTTTATTGAAGGAAAACTACAAAAAGGTGGCGCCTGTTCCAAGTTTTTCTTTTTTTTTTTTTTTTTTGTCCTATTGGTTAGTAGTTACCGCTCCCGTCCGCTCCTGTTAACTTTATCCCATACCGTTCCAATCATGTGAGTAATATCAAAGTTGACTCCCATCCCGCAGGAATCACGTGAGTCGTGGGATTCCCAAAAAAATGTCAGCCTCCATATGGCAGTCTGAACACAAGCCATCCTGAGCAACGCTGTAAGACCACCAACTGATCTGAACATGCAGCTATCACCTGGACGTCTCCTGGTTTTAGAATAAAACTGAAACAACCTCTTTAAAAACAACGTATTGTACAAGGAACCATGACTCTGTTGGTGAATAAGGCTCATTAACTGCACACAGAGGTAAAATCATATGGGTGTGTGTTGACCTGTGTGGTGGTTTTTCTAGCTATCTTTTCCCAGACGGCCGTGCACAAAACCCAGACCTAACAGGCTTGTGTGAACCATCTCCACAGGATCACATCAAAGTTACTCAGGTTTGTTTGTTTCTCATCTACAAATCAATCAGCCCTTGTCATGACGCTTTAGTACAAAGTGCATCTTAACATTACTCGCGCTGTAAAGATAAACAAGACGGTTTTATAACCATGGTTTGCTACAAAATAGAAACTATTTTGATATAAAGAGTTGAACGCATGAAGTCTTTGTGATGCGAGTGAAACTCTGCACGTATTGAATCCTGTGTTCCCCCTGCAGGAGCAGTATGAGCTGTACTGTGAGATGGGCTCCACTTTCCAGCTGTGTAAGATCTGTGCAGAGAACGATAAGGATGTAAAGATTGAGCCCTGCAGACACCTGATGTGCACTTCCTGTCTGACTGCCTGGCAGGTAAGATTATCGACTTTACACCGCTAACCTGTAATATACTGATACGAAGCTGCTTTGGGAATCTTTAACGAGCAAGAAAGGCTTCCTTTTGTGCTTATTACTGTAAATTTTTTAATTTCTTTGGGTTTTTTATTCTTGTCAAACTATTTTAATCTTTTAATTATTAAAAGTTCTCACCAAATGTGCTCTTTATCTCTGTTTTATTAAAAGTAGAAACATTTCTGTTTCTATTTATTTCAATGCAAATGTGATTTACCGTACTTTTAGTCGGATAAGTTGCACCGTCTTGCATAAATTTGCAAGTCCTGCAACTTATACACCCAAGTGACTAATATAACCCCCCCCCCATATTTTTAACCCAATTTTTGCTGAGATCTGACGATTTTATTCATTCTGACATGGAAAATATTGAACACTACCATTTTCAGCCACTAGAGGGCCTTTGACTAATATGGCAAGCCAAGTGTCTCATTAATGGGTAAAAGTGGCTATTAATGACACACTTGGCTTGCCATATCAGCCAACTTCGTCTCGCTCCGGAACCCCTGGAGCAAATATCAAATCAGCTGCGTTTCGCTGCACCGCCCAGGTGAAACGCAGCTGATTTGACCAATAAAGTGCATTTATTAAGGAAAAGTTCAACTGAGACGCACCTTTGCTATAAAGTCGAGCAAACAAACTATTGTTTTTAGGTGGTTATCTTGTGAAATTTCGAAGAAATGCACAGCGAGTCGCCCTCTGCATGCTCTCATAGCCGCAAAGTGGCTTTTGAAATGCAGCTGATTTGACCATTAAAGTGCATTTATTAAAAAGTTCAATGAGACACACCTTTTGCTATAATTTCGAGCAAACGAATAATAAGTGTTAATCTTGTTAAATTCTTGTTTAAGTCCTCTTGTGCGTTCTCCCGCTGCCGCCATTTGGCAGCCAATCAATTTTTGGCACAAAACCGGCCCACGTTTCTGGGTGGTCAGCGGTGACGCGTAATAGATGCGACTTATACGGCAAAGCAACTTATTTATGTTTTTTTTCTTCACTTTATTAGACATTTTTGGACTGGTGCGACGTGTACGGTGTATTAAAATACCGAACGCTTCCCGTGTTTATTTTTAGCGTCACTAAAACTCGAGAGTTTCTGTTCATCCGTTTTGTTGCTGAAAAGTCAAAGGCTTTCAGTTTTGTGTCTGTACATATTTTTATTTCACAATTTGAAATAGTTTTTTCCGTCGGTCATTTAAAATGAGTAACGAAGATGAAAATGAAAGTGCCGTTGATGCGTCCGAGTCTGACCTGAGCGCTGCTCAGCAGAGTTCAGTGGGATGGACATTTCTCTGGATTTACATGGTTCCTCTGATAAACTGCATTCAAATGATCCAGTCACTTTACTGGTCAGAGATATCAGACATGCTGAGAAACTTCTTTTCTTCAACTGTTTTTTACTCCGTAGTTGTTTTTTTGTAGGTCAAGCTGATGTTTGATGGTCAGTAGTTCTTTTCACACACATTTATTTATTCA